AAGCAAACTCTTAAATACGAGGCAGAATTCAGGAAAAGAATAGAGGAAAAGTGGTAGTTATCCACATATGTCTCCCCCAGCAAAATGCACAAGGATTAACAGAAATATTATCATTCAAAGAAAAAAGCTGCAGAATTAACATTTTCATTAATCTTGCTCAAGGGTGGTTTTTAAGTTAAACATAGATACCACACTGTCTTACCAAAAATTCAAGAAATCTTCTAGAAGAAATGTATGCTATTTCTGAAAAGCAAGTTGGGGCTACATTTTAAAACTACAGAACTGCAATCCTGGCAGATGTAAAAGAAAAATAACCCACTCACAGCAGAATTTACTAGCATTAAATCTGATGTTAGGCTGCCCTCTTCAATCACAGGACCATTGAATATCCTAAGCTGGAAGAGACCCACAAGGATCATTGAAGTCCAACTCCTGGCCCCACACAGGACAAGCCAAAATTCAACTATGAATTTGAAGGACTCACATTCTTTCTTGAATAAATGCTTCAGTAACTGTAAACCATGGAAAGTGAAACTGTAGATGTATGAGGCCATCTCTCAATACGTAGTGTTCATCCCAGAGCAATGGCATCAGACATGAACCCACTTCTGAGGGAATGCTCATCACAGCCCAGTCATGGCACGGATTCTCCAGTGCAGTGAGAAGTACACACAGATGCTGCAAGTCTGTCAAAGTGCTTTTGAAATAGATCAAAATCCATTGCCCTCTTGGGCTATAAGATTCCCTTTCTCCTTTCCTCCCTCAGCTCCAAATATAAATGGTAACCAAAATGCTGCCTTTGCTTACTTCTCCTACAGATCTTACAATGGTATCACAGTAGTCAAAACTTCTCTAAGAACACACACATGACAGAAGCAAAGCTGAAGTCATTGTTAAATTATGCAGAATTCAAGAGATTTCTGCTGTTTTCTGAGCTGTGTCCTTCATGAAAGGTAAAAGACTTCCCCAAAGCCTGGGATTTGGAACTCTTTCCACATACCATATTCACTCAACTGGCTTGTGCTTAATTTGAAACTGGATTCTCTATCTTCTTACCTGGCTACAACTCATGCGTCAGACACAAACAGCAGCTCAGAGACAGAGGATTAACTTCCTTGGAGCAGTACTAGATTAAGTAGCAGCATATAATCAGACCAGAGGATAAATCAAGAACTTCAATATGCCAAATAATACAGAAAAGCCTAAAACCCACAAAATAAGTGTACATTTCCCAAACAAATCTGGTCAAGTTTTGTTGACACTGCTATAGTGACTGTGCAGTTTACTGAGCAAGCTGCTTATCTCACAGGTGTCTTGCCATGAGCCATACCTGTCTCCTTCTCTCTACAAAGCCAATTTCTGCAAAATAGAAATGGAACACTACAAAATTAGAATTCGCACCACTAAGATTCTGCATTTGTTCAATTCATCTGGCATCACAAAACCTGTATGGACATAATGTGTCTCACTAAAAAAAAGGAAAAAAATGGGGGGGAAAGAAGAAAGAAAACATTTGTAAGTATGACCCTGACCTTTACTATTCACAAACAAATTAAATTCTACAGTACTTCAGGAAAGCATTAGTCATTCAGTAATGTAACACCTTTTTTTGCTAAAATCTGACAGGTCAAGGAAAAAATAGCACAACTCCCAAAAAAGCATTGATTCTACTAGAAGATACAAACAAAGATAAACTATAGTTTTTTCTGTGTATCTAAATTACTTTGGTATTGAACAGCATATGTAGCTTGAATGTTGCCTCCTTTTGGCTTCAGACCTACACTATAATTTGATTATGGTAATTCTCTTTCCTGGTTTTCAGAAGAAACAATTTTTCATTCTGAAGTATCATATAAAAAAAATCATAATACATTACCTTAGCAATTGGAAGTGTATCAACATGATCATCCATACAGTGATAACTGAAGTCACAGTTAAGTATTTAATCTCGAAAACTATCAAATGAATATAGCAAGTGATAGAAAAGGACAATATGTCAGCAAAATGATTTCCCAGTCCTCCTGTGCAAATTAGAACACTTTGCTTTCCGTTTCACACTTAAGCTGCGGAAACAGGAAATACAGAACATTTCCTTATATCATAAGGAATCCCAAACCTTCAGACTACTGCCTAATTCAGTGTAGGCCCCCAAAAGTAAATAGCTAGAGCAAGGAACAGCCCTCTGCTTTACTTTAAAACAATCATAAATCTCTCCTTGCCTGGAGGACAGCACTTAGTACTCCTAAAGCTCAGGTCATCATATCATTAATTCTACTGTGCCCTCCCCAAAAAGTATTTCTGGAGCAATAGGTGGTAACTAGGAAGTGCACATCCCAAAACCGTTACCACAGGCAAAAATGAGAAATTCAGTTTTACATTTTAACAGGCAAAGGTTAATGCAATAGAAAAATATATAGCCAAGCACAGGAGAAAAGTAAATAACTGCTTCATCTCCTACAAACTAAATTTAGTGAAAGCGGATTGTAGAAACCTGGGTCAAAGCACTGCACTGCAGCTGAGCCATACAAAATTCAATGGATCAAAATATTTTGCCTCCTCTTCTCCTTTATGATCATTCAGGGAAGAACTTTGCTTAATTAGCTAATTTCCCCTTTGCTAGTCTGTTTTAGTTAGAAATTATTTCAGATGTACTTTGTCTGAGGTGCCAGTTTTATGGCCTTGGGATATTAAATTCCGGCATTTCAGATAAGCCACTCTATTCCTGTCCTGTCACTCTGTCTCGTGTAATGATTGAAACACTTAAATCATTATAGAAAGCATTTAGTGCAATTTTATAAGCTAGTTTATGCATTCATGTAGTGAAAGGCTGTCAAACTGCTTACCAGACACTAGCGTTCTTCAGTACACACAGTCTCCATGTTCATAGCTGTGCCTTGCCATGCAAGGCTGAAATCACCTCTCCTTTGCACACTATAGACACATTTGCCCCTGTCTTCTCCTGTTTTGTGTACATTTTCAGGACAAAACTAGGCTCCATTTCAAATCCTCAGTGTAGGTTTATATTTTAACTTCTTCCTGTTCCCTCACACCAAAAAGTGATGGATACAGACATCATTGTAGACTACACATCCCAAATATCACCCAACGTCTCTTCAAGTCAGATTCTACAGACCAGCCAAATTTGCTTTCCCAACACCTGATAAAATGTCAGACTTTGTTTTTACCGCAGATTCTAGGGTCTCAGCACTTCTCTTGGACGGAGCTAATTTTAGTTGTGGTAATGACTGCCTTTGTTGCATTTTGGTTTTATATTACTCTTGTTTCTGTTTGTAATGGTTTTGTCTTTGTACTCCTGTTCTCCCCTCATAGTTTACCCCAAATTTTTTCCCTCCTCCCCCATGTCAATACTCCCTACTCTCCACCTACCATCCCAAGTTTTGCCAAGTCATTCCCCAGTCTCCTCCCTGGATCTCTGTCAATCACTCAGCCTCCTGTCCCCTCTGTCCAGAACCTTCCATCCAATACAGAGTGATTGGCCAAAGGCCAGGCGCTCCCTCCAAGTGCTTCCCAATTTGTGGCCCTTCATGCCTATCTCCCCAGTCTCCGTACCCCCAAGTTCCCCCATTGGCTGATGTGTGAATCCCTCCCTTGTTTCCAACCCCCTTTAAAAGTTGTTGTTGAAGCTCAGTCTGGGCTCTTCACAGCTGGTCACCCTGAGTTGCAGAGCTCCTTGGAGTTCTGGAATAAACCTTGGATTGCACCCCTGCCAAGAGTTGGCTCCTTCTTCCTCTGCCGTTGTCTGCAGCATCTCCTGCCACAGGGCTAACAACCCCCTAGCTGCCCTCCTGTACCCCAGGGCACAGGAGTGTCCGCTGGCATCCGCCGTGTCCAAGCTGGTCAGGAGTGGCCAAGTGGACACTAAGAGAACACGGTGACATGCCTTGAAGTCAGGTGATAATCGCCCAGCTTGTTTTAGCTTTGTTCCATGAGTAACATGCATGCAAAGATCTGACAAACTTACACAGTTACTGCTTAACAAACAGGCTGTACGCTAACTGGGACCTAGGGGAGGCTGACTGAGCTTTGACTAATTGCTAATGGGTGAAAGCAGTAAAACCTTACCTGAAAAACAGATAAATAGAACAAGTAAGCAGACCATTATGGAACAGAAAGTTGTAACTATGACAGGAAAGGAAAACATCAATGCAGTGACAGTATTCCACTGCAAACCAGTATCAGCAAAAGGACAGGGAGAACTTGCATCACTTACAAGGAAAAGCCACACAGCGATACCATGAGTTTCTAAGATCTCATCAGATGTATGAAAAAAGAGAAGGGACAAGAAGTCTGATTGAAAACTTTCCTTCTCATCTCACTATCAATTAAATGAAGTTGAATCAAATTTAACCAAACTAGCAAAAACAACTAGCCCTGGAATCAGAGACAGCTTTCAAGTATTCAAGTGAACAACTCTCATCCGTATCTTTATCTAAAGTTTGAGCAGACAGAACTGGTGGCACTTCACTGAGAAGTAAATGACTTTTGAAACCCTTCCTGAATCAGAAATATTAGGAAAATTTATGGTCATCTGCAACAGCCTACACCAGTAAGAGTTCAGTAAGAGCATCCTCCTGGAATTTTGTGCTCTTGTAACAAGTTGTCCTGGTTGCAGAAAGGGGTCAGAGGTTAGCACTGTGAGCAGGTCATTACTCTGCACCATATGTGCTATCGGTGGAGGGCATGGTTTCCAAAGGAAAACCCTGGTGCTCCACTGGGAGTTGGCCATTTTGCCTGCCCAGCCATCATGCTGCCTTTGGCTGAGGACACAATCTACTGGAAGCATCCACCATCATTCTTGTTCCCAGTAGTGAACACCTGTTTTTGTAACTAAAATACCTTATTTTTGTATCCTTTTACTATTTATATTGCTGTTGTTGCTGTGCCATGTCTTATTCTTGCTTTGTGCTTTCAGTAAATTGCTACCCCAACCCATAATTTCTGCTTTTGCCCTTTCCTTACTGGAAGAGGTAACAGAGAAGGGGAGTGGCTTACTTGGAGTTTATTTTCCAGCAGATGCTAAAACAAAACACAAGTTAAATAAAAATAAAAAAACATTAATATAATCAGAGGCAGCACTTATATTAATGAACAAACAACTTGCTATATTTGCCCATTTTGTCATACTTTTAGAAGTACACATTCAAGGCCGTCGTGTGAAACATTGGTGTCATCATCATACTCCATCTGGACCAGTTTTGCGTATGCAGCACTATGTACTTGGCATACAAAATTCAGACAGTTTGGAAATACAGCTCATTTGAGAAGACACTTGCACATCATTCCAAAACCAATACCAAATGCTCTGTAGGGTCAGAAAGAACGTATACATTAAGTTCACAAATTTGAGCAGTTGAACTTATACATATATTCCCTTTAATTGTAGTGAATGGTGTTCTAAACTCCTTTCCATATTGAAGTTTTCCTCTTCTATAAAAACTTTTTCATAATTTTGACTAACAACATATTCTGCTTTCAGCTGGGAGTTGATTTTCTTCCTATTAGCACTGTGGTTTGGATTTAGAAAAGACCAATCTGATAATACACTGATGGTTTTAGTTGATGGTGAGCAGTGCTTACTCCAAGCCAAGGACTTTTTAGTTTCTCATGTTCTGCCAACTAGGAGGTGTGCAAGAAGCCAGGAGGAAGCATGGCCAGGACAGCTGAGCAGAACTGGCCAAAGGGATATTCCACACCATAGAACATCATGTCCAGTATATAAACTGGGGAGAGCTGGCAGTCACTGCTCTGGGATGGGGTGGGCATCCATCAGTGGGTGGTGAGCAAGGGTATTGTGCATCACTCATCTTTCTTGGGTTTTACTCCTCTCTTGTTGTTGCTGTTATTAGTAGTACATTTATTTCAATTATTAAACTATTCCTATCTCCATCCATGGTTATGGGTATGACCTTTTTTTCAGTTCTCTTTCCCATTGCACTGGGGAAGTGAACATTTTTGTGGTACTCCACTGCTAGATGGAGTAAAACCAGGACATCATATTAAGCCATTTAACTACCTTTAAGTAATCTTTGTGTGCTTTCAGACAGCCACTGTACTTCAGTTCTTATAGTGAATACACATCTTCATATGCCAGGGCTCTCTCCTCGTTAATCTTTTCTTCAATAGGTTCAGTCAAAGCTAAAAATGTCTGTCCAAAACCAAACTCAGTGTTTAAGATTCTGTCTCTGGTGTAATTTCCAAGCTTTTTGTTTCACATCCTCTAGAATGTTTCAAATCATAGGCCCACACAGTGTCTATTCCCTCTCCAGTAGTATGATCTGGAATCCAGCAAGGGAAAGGAAAGCGACAGGCAATTATTCTGGCATTACATTCAAGTTCTTCTTCCAGCTTCTTCTCCAGCTGTGGCATCTGTTGAGTTACAAGAAAAATCTCTCAGAAACAGTAAAAAACAGGAGCATTCTCTGTAGAATCGAATTCAGGTGTTTCAGAGAAATCCAAGGTGTAATTTTTTTTTTAATCTTATGAAAGTATTTGTAATAGATATTGCGGCTTTGATGCCTTGACAAAGAATATCTAAAACCAGAAAATGGTAATTTTCAAATTCAAATTAAATCAAAACACATCAATTATCCCTTAAATTAAAAAAAAAAAAACTGCTGGGACAAGACTTTGCATGCTCCAATTCACAATTCTCTTCAATGGGATTCTTCTCTGAGAGAATGAAAGTTCAGCCCCCTGAATTTATGCTATTTATGAGTTCATAAGCTCAAGGTTCATGAGCTCAAATGATATTCAAAGGCTCAAAATTTACAGTCTAACACCAAGACCAATCCTGGGGCACTCAAAACATCAGAGACAACAACCCAAAGCAAACATTCTTCTGTCGCTTTATGGTGAAATACTGTTACATTAAATAATATTGAAATTGAGCTTAGTTGAATTCACACCCTGTTAACATAGTCATGTGAACCCCTTCAGCAGCATTCCATGAAAGAGAATGTAGAATCTAGGAATGGTTTGGATTGTGAGGGACTTTTAAAGGTAGTCTGGTTAAACACCTCTGCCAGGGGCTGGGACATCTTAAACTAGACCAGGTTGCTCAGAGCCCCATCCAGTTCCCATCTACTGCCTCTCTGAGCAACCCGTTCCACTGTTCCATCTGGAACCATCCCATTAATAAAATTTTTCTGACTTATATCTGAATGTGCCCTTGTTTAGTTTAAAACTATTACCCTTATCCTGTCTCTACAGGCCCTACTAAGAAGTCTGTCCCCACTAAAAAGTCTTGTTTACAAGCCCCCTTTAAGTACTAAAAGGCCACTCCCCAGAGTCAAGTCTTCTCCAGGCTGAATCACCCCATCTCTCAGCCTGCCTTCATAGCTCCTCTGAACCCACTCCAACAGGTCCACATCCCTCTTGTGATGGCATGCCCAGAGCTGGATGCAGTACTCCAAGTGGAGTCCCACCAGACCAGAGGAAGAGGGGAAGAATTCCCTCCCTTGCCCTGCTGGCCATGCTGCTTTGGATGCAGCCCAGGACATGTTTGGCTCTCTGGGCTGTGAGTGCCCATGGCTGGGTCATGTCCAACCTCTCATGCACCAGCACCCCCAAGTCCATCTCAGCAGGGCTGCTCTCCATCTGTTTATTCCCCAGCCTGTGTTGGTACTTAGAGCTGCCCTGACCCAGGTGCAGCACCTTGCACTTGGGCTTGTTAAACTTTGTAATATTCCCATGGGCCCAGTTCTTGCCCAGGTCCCTCTGGATGGCATCCAGTCCTTCAGGCACGTCAGCTGCACCACTCAGCTTGGTGCATCTGCAAACTTTTCTGAGAGTGCACTCAATCCCACTGTTTTATGCTATTGATGAAGACATTAAGCAGGACTGCTCTAATACAGACCCCTGAAGGACACCAATTGTAACTGATCTTCATCCGGACATTGAGACATTGACCATTACCCTCTGAAAGCAGATATCCAGACAACTCCTTATCCACTGAATAATCCATACACCAAATTCATTTCTCCCCAGAGTAAAGAGCAGGATGCTGAGGGAAACTGTGTCATATACCAACTCTCCTTGGTTGAATACCTACAGTCTAGCTTTCCTCCATTCACAAAAATTGAGAGGATGAGAAGGTAGGGGAAATATCACTATAAGAGATTTAGCCACTTTTGTCCTTTGGAAATGTCTGATGGTATGTTTAAGCAGACCAGCAGTGCACATCCATTTGGAGTTCCTTTTATTCTTACATATTGTATCTGTCTGAAAGACTAATTTTAATGGCAAACTCTACAGGCTACTTCTGTTACATGTAAAACACTATTTGCTTTGATTATCATGATGTAATATTTAAATATTAAAAAATTCAAAAGTGCAGTAGCTATTAACAAATTTAGCTGAATTTAAGTCACAAAGACAAAAATACATAAAATTTCACAATAAGATGAAAGAAACAAAACTCAAAAGAACATTATTAGAAAATAAGACTGACTAAAGAAAAGGTATTTTTTAAAAGCTGCAGAGCTTTCGCTATCACATACATTCAGGGTGTGCCTTTGATGTAATATCCTATTATAACTACATTTAAGCTAACAATGGAATATTTTAGGAAAATTACAGTCATAGATCTAATACACCAAAGAGTTACCTCCAAATATTTTTAAGGCTCTGACTTCATCCACACTGCAAATGCTTTTTAACATTTTTGCTGCCTTAAACAACTAGAATAAGCCTACTAGCACCTTCAACAAACCAGAAAAATAGTTGTTATCTAAAACTGAGTTGAGACACCAGAAAATATTTTTTACAGAAAATATAAACATATACTAATTTTTAGGAGCAATTATGAAAATTAGTGACACTGCATATCCATATTAGCACAAGTTAGAAAACGTCATTAACAGTTCAGCTGAGTTTAGTCAAAAATAAGTATATCCTTGAACCAGTTAAACTAGCTTTTCAGCTAAATATATCAGTTTTATTAGGTGTTACAATCATACTGTATTTTATGTGAAGCCAGGGTTTGGGGGAATTTTTTGGTGTGTCAACATAGATACATAGTTTAGTAAACCTTTTGTATAGTATTTAATCAGTTAAAACACACAGGAGCTGCAAACATGAACACCTGGCAAGAATTCCGTTCTCCTACCCTGAACAAGTAAGTCTCTCTCTGCAAAAACTCAGAAACAAACACACCTTCCCCCCAGATGCTTGCAAGAACAAGAGAGGTCTTAGTCTTCCCTGAAGATCAATAAATGCAGGTTTTTAAAGCTAATCTTGGATATGAAATAAAAGCACTGTGTGAAAGCATCAAATCAGGCCAGCATTATTGCAAAAGCTGAAGAGATCTATTGTTCCTCAGTAAAAAAAGAAAAAATGCATTAAGGTTTCTAGAAAATTAATTTAGTCATTCAGGAGGCTGAGCATTAACAACTTTCAAAGTAAATTCAAAGGGGATCATAAGCAAACAAATGCTCAGGAAACAGAGGTTCATATGTTTGCATCTGTTGCATTTATGACAGTACTTTTGCTGAAAGAATTTAATCTAGTATTTACTGGATCTACAGAAGTTATTCTGAGCCCAATAGCTACCCTTTCTATCACAGCTGTTACTAATGTATCCTGCTTTATTACATTTAAAAGTTAATTCAGTATTTCTGCTGGGTTTACTCACATTTTCCCAGGGCATTTGTTTATTCCTAGTTTTTACTGAGCCAGCTTTCCTCACTAGGACTTTTCCCCTCGGTGCAACTGTGGAATTCCTGACCACATATCCAAACGTTCCCAGTGCCCCCTGCCGGAACTCAGGCAAAAGAGCACCCAGGGCTGGCAGCATGAGGAACATCCTGGTGTTCACTAATTCCCACCCATACCCAATTCAGTTTCCAATATGGGTTACAATTGGAATCTGAAGTAGAGATTTACTCCTGGTGCAGTTGAAAAAACAAACAAGCAAACAAAACCGCACAGAATAGGAAGGTTTATTATGCTTCCTGTTACTGCTGCAGAAATGTTTTTGGTGTACTCTGTATGGTATGGCATCACATAAAGCTCTTCACTCACTTCATCTCACGCCTGCCTTAGCAAAGGAACAAGCAATACAGAAGCACAGGATGGCAGAATTGGGTTGTTCAGCCTAGAAAAGAGACGGCTTCAGGGGAACCCTAACTGCAGACGCCAATACCTGAAAGGAGCCTACAAGATGGAGAGGGACCTTCCACAGGCATATGTAGTGACAGGACAAGGGGGAAGGGCTTCAAACTGAAAGAGAGTACGTTTAGATTGGGTATTAGGAAGAAATTCTTCATATGAGGGTGGCAAGGCAATGGAACAGGTTGCCCAGAGACGTCATGGATGCCCCAGCCATGGAATTGTTCAAACCAGGTTAGATGGAGCTCTGAGGGACCTGGTCTAGTCAAAAGTGTCCCTGCTCATGGCAGGGGGGCTGGAACTAGAGAAGAGAAGGTTGTGTGCAGACCTCATAGCAGCCTTCCAATATCAGAAGGAAGCCTACAGAGAGGAAGCTCCTGATGAAGCTGGAGAGGGTTGCTTCATCAGGAGCTGTACAGCTAGGACAATGGAGAATGGAAAAATGAAAGGGGAAATTTAGGTTAGGCATTAGGAAGAAATTCTTTACTGTGAGGGTGGTGAGACACTGGAACAGGTTGCCCAAGGAGGCCCCAGCCCTGGCAGTGTTCAAAGCCAGGCTGGGTAAGGCCTTGAGCAACCTGGTCTAGTGGGAGGTATCCCACGCATAGAGGGCTTGGGACTTGATGATGTTTAAGGTCCCTTCCAACCCTTAAAAATCTATGATTCTATGATTATTACTGACTACCTTTGACCATCTGCAGGTTGATTCATTTTGCAGATTAATGTATTAACACTGAAAGCCTTGGCATTAAACTAATTAAACATTGTAACAAATAATTAAACAGTAACATAAATAAAATACAATAATATAATAAAATTTAAAAAATAGTAAACTTACCATTTGAGGTACTCCAAAAACAACAACATTTCTATAATGGGAAAAAGAAACCTAAAACAAAATTTGAGAACAAATCATTGAAATGGCATTTATAGTTAACATTTCTATAATGGGAAAAAGAAACCTAAAATAAAATTTGAGAATACATCTTATTGAAATGGCATTTATAGTTAGAGAAATTCTCACCATTCTTTTCTCCTAATCCCTCTAGCTGCACTTCTTTCAACAGGGATTTAGACCAAAAATCCGTAAGGAGATCCCTTACCAACTTTTCATCACAAAAATTTCCACATAAAGAAAACTTTATGCTGCTGAACAGCAAAAAAGTTCCACTGTCTGGCCAAGAATATGGAATAGCAATTTTAGAAGCACAGAAAGCATTAGTTTAAAAAACACCTACATGACTTTATTAATAACAGAAGAGTTATTTTCACAACTCCTGTATATGATAAAATCACGCATGCTTTAAGTTTAAGGCATTTAAGAAATGCCCCTTCTTTTGGTAAAGGTTAGCTAGCTATAAAAACTTCCTAGGCATTCTAATGACTGAGTTCTCACTCAGTGCCATGAAGTTCTCCTATGTTCCTCTCTGAACACAAACAACCCCACAGCCAAAAAAAACCCTCCCGCATAATTCATCAGGCCCAGGCTTGCTCAAGGAGCCTCTATTGATAAAGGAAGCACTTGGATAAAGCACAAAAGCAGCAGAACAGCATACTGAGCCCAAAGAAACCAGATTCCCAGCTCAAGTACTCTGCTCAAAGCCCAGTGTAGCACCTTGTGGTCAGAAAGCTTTTCAGCTCTTTCAGGAAAGTATTTCCAAACTTATAAAATCTCTCAATCATCCCAGATCCATTCTTATATAATTCACTACCCACCTTCCATAAGTCTGAAATATAAAATTTGGTGTTCTGATGTACTCCATCTCTCCAGGCACGATATCTGGAGTACCAGACTAGCCAGGGATTCAATTCATAACCAACAGCCTGGAATCCCTTTTTTGCAGCTGCTATCACCTACAAGGAAGAAAATAAATCTTCACTTTGAAACACAGAAGTCTAGTCACCTAAAGAGAAGCACACAATTTTATTTAAAATATAAGTCAAAGGAAAGCACTTTCCTAAGTCACCCTGGGTTTAATGCCCAACAGATCAGCTGTATAGTGAACAAAAACTCAAAACTACATTTTACTATTATTACTAGTCCTGACTGAAATATAGTCAGGCAAGCAAAATGAAAACAAATACTCACAGGACAAAGCTGTGAGCTTGCAGTATATCTATGAGCCATATAAAAGTTTAAATTAACATATTCATTACAGTGTCTTGGAATTAAAGAGAACCAGCATTGATGACAGAGAGAACAGTGAAACTCACAAGCAAAAACGCTCAAAATTAGACCACTTATTTGAAAAGCAGCAAGGGATAGGCACTTGAGCAGCCCCTGAATCAGAGCCAAAATGACATTCCAATAGAAAGAGTGTCAAAGCAATCTGCTGATCTACATTAAAAAAAAAATCAAAAAATGCACAAATTTCTTGAATAAAGGTTTAAGACAAAATTTAAAGGGCTACTGCAAACTTCTAATCAGCAATTGCCTGATGAACTATCAGTTATAAAACCAGCCAGGTAAAATCAGAACGTACACTTTTCTTAACAGAACTTCTCAAACAGCTTTACCTGGACTATATATTTCATACTGTTAAATAATGCATCTTCCATCACACACAGAGCACTTATAAACTCAACAAAAGAATCTGACATTTTTACCAAACTTGGTAATGTGGTAAATATCTTCATATTTATCCACTGACTACACCTGAGTAAGCGCTAAATAATTAGAAGCATTTGAAGACACTTTTTTCAGGACAGATGCAACAAGGAAACACCAAGCATTCATTTTTAGGCACCTGGATTTCCAAATAGCCTTCATTCTCCATTTAGGTACCTATACATCAGAATGAATGACACAGTACCTGTGTTGAAATTAAACACCCCTGATGAGAGTCAGCAGCCCCAATGATGAACAGAGAGGGCATCAGAAATTGCAGTTATCTCATGCCTAAGTTTTTTGGTCTGTTTCCTACCCAGGCACAATTCAAGTCATCTTCACAGACTTGTGGTTCCAAATCAATTTTGTTTTACATGGACAAATAGTTGACACATTCACATAAAACATGGACAAAGGTAGCACTCAAGAACACATGTGTTTCCATCAAAAACCACCACCATGTTGCTAACTCTGACTTGAAGCAGATAGTATGAAGAGGCACACAAAACATCACAGCAACAAAAGAAAAACCAAATCACACAGTTTTCCACTGCATCCTCACCACAGTTCACAAACTGGGGCTCAATACCCTGGAAACACAGTATCACTTTTTCTTCCATGATTCTCACCATTTCTCTTGGTGTTTACTCTAGCTTCACCACGTGGATTTGGAAGTGGGGAAGCCAGCACTGCACAAAGGTTTGAAGACTACAGCTCTAACCACACCAGTACTTTTATTTTTATAATCCATCGCTCATTGCCTGTTTCTTTTTACAATTCTATCACCTTCATACATTAAACATCTCACAGCCTCACTTGCTGCGGCTACACACCTTTGTGGAATCACAGCTCTTTGTCAATCAGTACCAAGACTCTGACTGTATCTTTTCAAGAGAATTCCCTGCGATTCCATCCAGTCACCACAACGATATTTTGTCCACTACCTTGGTCAAGCTACAGGTAAGACTGCAGCAAAAACTATTTATTACTCATCAAAACTGAATGTAAACCTTTCTCAGATTTGATCCTTTCCGTAAGACTCAAACACAACCACCGGATGCCAAAGACAAGACATTTTTAAGTGTGAGAAAACGCAGCCCCAGCACTTCGGCTCTTTTTTAAGAGGCAACATCCACAACTTACAATGCGGCCATCCCCGCTACCGATGTCAACCAGGGAGCCGCTTCTGTTTTCCAACATTTTCAGCACGTTGCGGATCTGAGCGGCGGTGGCAGGAACGAAGGGCAGGCACACCTTCCTCAGGGCCGGGGTCACGAAGGGGGTGGCCACAGCATAGAGGGCCACCAAGGAGCCGCCCACACCGGCCGTGACCAGCAGCCCCCAGCCGCTCCTCCGGGAGCCGCCCGCGCCCTCCTCCTGCGGCGCCTCCTCCGCTACAGCCCGGGACATCGCGCCTGCGGACGGACAGACAGTGTTTTCGCCCATTTGAACAAATTTGTGTCTTGTAGCAAAGAGCTACGACGTAAGAGATGAAAAAAACCACCCTACACTTCAGCCGATCCCAAGGAAACGCCACAGCTGCTGGAAGGCTGAGGCACGAGGGGGCAGAGTGCGGTTCCCACATAAACCCCCGCCCCGCACAGGCGGGCGGGCAGCAGCTCCAGGGCTGGGACCTGCGGCCACGGGAACACGTCCTGGAGCCGCTGCTCCTCCTCTGCGGAGGAGCTTTTCCCTGGGACACAGCGACACCCAGCACACCCCCACCCGCCAGTGAGCCACCCAGCCTAATGCTCGGCCCGCACCAGTTACAGGGCAGGGCAGGGCAGTCCCACTTCGCTGGGAAGGAAGGTGCGGGGGGCCGAAACCTTTCCGAAGGCGCTCCAGAGAGAAGCGCCGCGCACACTTTCCCACCGCGTGTCTGTCTTCCCTCCTCCACCCTCACGTCACCCGCCACCGCCCCGCTCGGCCCCGTAGGATGCACGCTCCCTCCTTCGCTCCCGCCCCCGAGAGCCGGCCCGTGCGGCCGCTCCTCCCCCGGCCCGGCGGCTTCCAGAAGGCTCCGCCGGGGGCGCCGCGAGGCTCCCGCCCGCGGAAGGAGGCGCGGGTGCAGCGGCCGCGCAGGCGCGGGGCGGCGCGCGCTG